GAGAGAGAGAGAGAGAGAGAGAGAGAGAGAGAGAGAAGGCTCGTGGCTACGGCTGCCCAGAGAGCTCCAGAGCGCCAGTGTGCGCACACGGCGTGGGACATGTCAGCCCCATCCATCCATCATATAGCTGTCTCTCGGTGTGCAGATGCTGCGCGGTTAGCCCTAATAAACACACACGGAGAGCCGGGCTAAGTGAGGGTTTAGGCGCACGCTTTGTCAGCCCACCTCCTAATTGACCCCGCGCGGCGTCGCCGTCGACCGACCAAAGAAAGCGGCGGCGCGGAGAGAGACGGGACGGGACTAGCTATGCGCGTGCGCGGGCGGCGTTCGTACCTGCTGGACGACGTCGCGGGTGGCGAGCGCGAGGATGTCGGCGCAGGAGACCTTGTTGGAGCAGCCGGCGTCGGCGTCCACGGCGGCCTTGGCGCGCGTGATGAGGTCCAGCGCGTCCGGCGACAGCGTCGTGTCCGCGCCCGCGCTGTGCTCGTCGCCCGGCCCGGAGATGAGCACCGAGGCGTCGCACCCCTGCACACCCCCATCACATCAACCATTCGATTAATCGATGCAAGCAACAGTCAGACACTAGAGGCAAGCTCTGGTTTTTGTATGCGGCGCGCGTACCCTGACGAAGCAGTCGTGGAAGAAGAGGCGGAGGGTGCCGGGCGCGGCGTTGAAGGTCTCCTGCAGCTTCTGGGTCACGGCGCCGCGGACCAGCGCCTCCACGTTGGGGCACGTCTTGGCGTAGTAGTTCCGGCTCAGCCCCGCCGCCGCGACGCGCGGCGCCGCCGTCGCCAGCAGCAGCAGCACGCCGACGACGACGACGAGCAAGCTCTCCCGCCGCGACCGCAGCTGCAGCCCCCTCGACCTCATTGCCATCTACTATAGGAGCTGCCTGTCTCCCTCTCTTGGACTCTTAACTAGCTCTTCTTCCTCTGCCTGTCCTTAATTGATGCTTGCACTTGCCGCTGCCCTCACACACACACTCTCCCTCCCTGTAGCTAACACTCGGCGTGCCTTAAGTGAGGAGAGAGGCGGGCTCGCGCGCGCTTATATAGATGGGGAAGATGAGATGAGCTGGGCGTTGCCTCGCCTCGCCCCGCCGGCGAAGGAGCTGGCTAGGACTAGACTCGAGACCAAGGGTGGAGTGCTACGAGCTGCAATGATGTGGACGAGGGAAGGAGGAGTGAGAGAATATTAAGGCATCGGCATGGGGACACGCCCTGCCCGGCTCCGCACGCACTAAAGAGGGTGTTTGTTTTCACGGATTTATTAGTTTAGGGACTTAAATAACGGAAATCCCGTTTGGTGACCGAGCTCTAATGAGGCCTCCAAATTCAAAATTCAAATTTTATCAAAATTCATATTTTTACGTTTCAAATAATTTTGAAAAAAAAACACAAATATACATGAAGACATAACATACATGTGTGTAAATTTTCAGGACAAAATACGTTGAAATAAGCGCTGTGCAAAAAAGACAAATCTGAGGTTGTTTAACACATGATACTATTTATTCTCTCAGGCCATGAATTTGCCTTTTTGTACAGGTTGCAATTCAAGGTATTTCGTCATGAACTTTTACACACATGTGGGTTACGTTCTTACATATACACATGTTTTTTTTCAGAATTTTTTGAAACATAAAAATTTGAATTTGAATTTTTCAAAAATAAAAGGCTCCGTGGAGCTCGGCCTCCAAAACGCCATTCTCCTTAAATAAGTCTTTATAAATTCCATCTAAACCAAATAAAAGGGACTTATAGAGACTTAAAGTTGGTATTTGAGACTTATGAATTAGACTCTCAAGAAGGGATTTATAGAGACTTACAGTTGTAATATGGTCTTATAAAGACTTATAAGTTCCAAGAACCAAACAGGTAGGGACTTGAGACTTATAAGTTGAGACTAAAAAAAATCTTAAAACTTATGAACCAAACAAAGAAAACCCCAACGCCAGCCCGCCAACGGCTGTGATCCTCTCTCTACTCCTCCTCGCCCTCATCAGAAACAAACAGAGGAACACTAAGCAACCACAGTCCAGATTAACCCACTAATTTAAAGGAATGCAGTACGCCGTGCACAGGCATTTCATCAGCCTGTGATTAAACTACGTAGGGGTGGCGCGACGATCCCAGCGGCCAACTTGATCACTGTTTGCTTCCGCGGAGCTCGCGTGCTTTGCTCCTCGCGCACGCCAAAACGTGTCACGTCACAGCTGTGCCCGCATCCGGCCCATGCATTTCGGCGCCACGGATAGGCTTTAGTATTCGAGTACCGGAACCGGCGGAGTCCCACGGGAAGGTTACCGGACCGGAAAGAAGCTCACGGGCTCCGCCACGACGCCGCCGGTACCCGCCCGGGGACGGAGGAGGCGGCCAGGGGAGAGGCGTGTGCGTGTACGTGCGTGCTCACTGGTCAGGCCATGTGCCGGGCTCGCGGCACTGTGCAATCAGCTAGCTGTATCATGCCAATCGCGTACGTGACCAAGTTTCAGTTTCAGAAAAACAAACCGAGAGCTGTGCAGAAAAATGTTGCGTCCGGAACTCTAGATACCGCCGCCGCCTCGAGTCGAGGCCCACACGTACACGTAGGTAATACGCCACGGGTGCCGCGGGAAGAAGACGGGAAAAAAGTGAGACGAGCGGCGAGGACGGAAGAGAAGCCGAGAAAGTGAGGGTAGCGGAGTCAAAAAGGCCGGCCGGCGTGTTCTTCTTTTGCGGTTTGCGCATATATTCATTCCCGTGTGATCTTACGGGCATAGTTACTACTAAATCTACCACTACGGGGGTGGTAGTGGCGGTGTGCTGCTGCCCGTTATAGTGCACGAGACATCCTCTGCCTGCTTCTGTATGTTTGTTGAGGGAATCCGTTATTGAAAGAGGATAGTACAAAAATACCGAGGCACCATCACTGCTAACAATGGGAAGGTGCCCTCTCGAAAAAGAAAAGAAAACAATGAGTTGGGTAGGTACGAGTGATTCGTTGGTGGCTTTTGTTTAGAGTAAACTGACCGGAGTGAACAGATCGGGACTCGACTGCCGTGGTACACGACAGACTTTGCAGAAACCAGGTGCAGAGATGTGCGTTTTCTTTACACGGAATGAGGCACAGAGAGAGATGTCTGCTCTTTTTCCTCAGATTATTATAAGCAAATACTAGATGCCACCTCAATCATCAAGAATCTCTCACACATTTCCGACTCTGTTTAACGAAAGCAGTACACATTCACCCTGTGCGTTCGGTTTATTCGGTTTAAATGGTTTAATTTATACGGTATTAATACTTCAGTAAATATGGTATGAAATTAAAATACGATTCGGTTTCGATATATACCAAATTATTTCGGTATGGTTTCGGTATATACCATAAAAACCAAAGTTGACGCGAATTTGAAAATGACGTAATAATAATTAGCAAATTTATGACTCAAAACACATACTATTCTACACAAATAGTATATGACTATATATATAAGTATATATGCATGCATTGATTCATCTGTTGGTTATGGACGTGCTTAGCATTTTAAAAATAAAAAAATGACTATGTTACAAGAAAAAATTACGTGCTTAGTAGTGCATTTGACTCATGTACAAGAAAAATGACAACTTGTATGGTTGTTCATCTCAAGAAATATAAATTTATTTTTTACTTCGGTTTATTCGGTTAACCGTTCGGTTTTCCGGTATATACCATAAAAACCAAGTTTAAATCGGTATGAAAAGTTCATACCATACCGAAACCAAAAACCATAAAAACCATAAAATTGGTTCGGTTCGGTTTATTTTCGGTATGGTTTTTCGGTTCGGTTTTTAAATGCACAGAGTGAGTACACATATAGTGCTTTCATTGTTCTTTCACGGGTTGGGCCATTTCGCAAGTAATTCGTGTTTGATTCTCCACAATCGATCGAGGAGCAGTTTCCCTCCATTAGAAAACGATTCTCAGCGACTGAAAAAACGCGTACTAGTACGTTCTCTTAACGCGGGTACGTGCTTGGCGAAGAAGGAAAGTGGTACGGTTCGATCGAAGTGGAGGGAAAGCACCAAAGCAAGCAGACGCACCTCTCGGGACGGGGCTGCGTCGACCTGTATAGAAATTCAGGTCACATCCGGGTGATAGGCAACCCACTGGAACCAAATCTCCTTGGAATTTTCGGTCTTGTGTGGCTGCGGAATAAAGAGCGCCCAGCTTTCAGGCTTTAGCAACACACGAGTGGGTTTATCATCCTCCTCCGAGATTTGTCACTGCACTAGGCATATCTTGCAGTGAAGGGTCACCGCATTCTCATTCCCGTTGCTTTCGGTTGGGCGTTATAGAATTTGGAATCCCTAACAGATGTTGCTGTTTCCCGTTATTAATTTCATCTTTGTCCCGTGCAGAAGTGTGTAATGTTGGACACGGATATGCAGTTTCCAGTACTATTACACTATATCCTCGAAAGAATCTCGGAGAACGAGCCGTGCTCCCTGTGAGGCACATCTGATTCCCGTTAACTGAAATTCAGTGCCGTCGCATGGAATGGCTCGTATGGGCTATACACGAAGTAAAGCAAAGAAATTATGCCGCGGGTTGCTCTGGATTACAAGTTCTGCTTGAATATGCTTGTTCCAACCGGCCAAGTAATGCTCGTTTTCTCTTTTCAGCTGATTAGACACAATAAATCTTTTGCACAAAATATTGTCCGTATCCTGCATGCAGTGTTGTCAAGTCGAGTAGAAGTGAGTGCCAAGGCGAATGATTAAAGAGAGCACAGGCTGATCAATTCGTGTAGAGTATGAGGAGGGCGCAGTGCGGCGTTCCGAGACCAGTCGGTAGGACAATCGGACGCTTTAACGGTAACTGCTTTGGAAAAAGCTTGACAGTTACTACTACAAGTGTAAAGTGCCTTCTTCCAGAACCCCAAAAAGAGTGGATAGTGTCTGAGAAAAACAATCCGGTCCGGTCGTAGTGGGACGCACGGTGGAGGTCGCAATTAATTATATATCTCGCGGATATATAACGCGCGCTGCGAAAGCGCGACAGTAATCACCACTGACGTAGCTTGGACGGCAAAAAGGCCCGGCAAGCCATGATTAAAAAACAGGGGTTAGAGGATGATTACAAGATCTTCCAACGTGCGATGCGAGACACAAGACACAACGGCCGGGGAGCAGATATAGATATACACCTCCCGATCCCGAACCACTATAATTTCATTTGCCTTTTCGAGAAAACTGACCGCATGTCGGCAATCCATCGATCACATGTCCAAGGAAATTTATCAGTGGTAGTACTCCGTATATGGCTATATTGTTGGTTCTGTTGCGATCCATGAAGCATGTCGTTGCGTACGTGCGTGCGTGCGCACGCATAGAATCGCGCAGCTAGCTCCGGCATTCATCCTCGTGACGCCTAGCTAAAACCCTAGCCGCGCGTACGCGCGTACTACCGCGTGAAGCTCTTGACGAACCAAGGCCATCAATGTTCGCTCGGCATTCAGGCCGGGCCGCTAATCGGTAAGGCGGCGCGCTCAATGATCGATGTTACACCCGGCCGGCCTTTCTTGAGCCGGCGCCTGGATACATTGACCACCGATGGGAGCACGCACGCGCCGGCGCCCGCGGTCTCCGTCCGATCGGCATGGGCCGAGGCGAAGGCACGCAGGGCGTGTGATCCCGCCGTTCGGAGCGGCGATTGACGCATTCACGCGATCTATGCATCGATCGTGACGGAGGAGAAATCTTAAGTGGAGTCGCCGTCCGGTCGACGAGGACGGACGCACGCGCGTACCGTGTTGTTTTCGCGCCCATGTCGACCACCACGTCCGTCGTTTCTGCCGCGGATTCCATCGCATGCACCCGGCCGCCCCCGTGGGTGCCCTGCCTTGTGCGCAT